AGCGGGAAAATAATGTTTCCAAGCAATTATAAGAATTGTCCTGTGTCTATGTACCTCTCTGTTTTGTATTTTTTCTGGTTCTAAACCAGGGTTTCTGTGATTCTATACTAATAATTTTTTGATATAACCTTTTGCTTCTTATAATGAGTGCGATATATGTTGTCGAAGCTATGTTCTCCAAGAATTAAAATTGAAGTGAGAATTTAAAAACAGAAAAATAAAGAAATTTAGACAAATAAGAAACAGTCTAATCGCTATGACAATATCACCACTGATGGTTGAACATTTTTCCCAATTGATATGATGGACCTGCAACAGCAGCAAACTGACCTCCAGGACATTTTTACTGAGAGGACGTCTGGGGCTCCTTTCCCCGGGCCATGAGTGCGTGTGGAGTCGATCATCAGTCAAAGAGGAGAGACATGAAAATCAAAAGCACTTTTAATATATCATTTCAAATACATTTTGTTTGTTTCGTCTTGAAAATTTTCATTGTTTCTTGAATTTTATTGGTTGTTGCCTTCAATTTGCTTACTCCATGATGCAGCTTTTTGCAGAAGGGTCGGTTGATGAAGTTGTGTGATGGTGACTGTACTATTAAAAAAAGAAATAGGCAACGATGTCTCATTCTCAAGCATTTTCCTGGAAGCAAATGTCAAGATGATCGGGCTTATTTTAAATCATCTGAGGGAATATGTTGTCTGTGTGTGCTCATGGTATCTATAAGAAAAGCGCAAGTGCAGCCTACAGTTTCTGAGTCACTATCCTGCATTGCCTTCTACTGAAACATATAATTGTGAATACACTGTTTGCCTCTATTACACCTACCAGTGAAAACGAGGTGATACACGGGATTAAGTGTGGTAATTACACTATGGGTGCATACCTTACATTTTAACAGACCCACTGACATAACTGGCAATGCGAACACAAAGGAGGGGAGGCTATACGTGAGGAACTACAGCAGTGAGCTCTCTGCCAGCCTGTGAGCGCATTAATGTTTAATATTTTTCCCAGACAGCAAGGAAAGCCTGCGCACCACACAGAGCCACCTCCATCCTACCTCCTGTGGCTTAATCAAGGTGATTCTTCACAAACCAAACAATATTCCCCTCTCCCCCGTTCTTAAAAACTCTGCCTTGATAGTGCATGCCTCAATATTGATGTGGGCGTCATTTGGCAAAAGGGTTAGGCCCGCTGCAAAGCTGCTGTGATATGCGTGATCAATCTGGAAAATGTATTTTACAGCATGTAAGCCAGTCGATAGGAACACCGAGTGTGATGCATTGTGTGGGAATAGAGAGGACGAAGGAGAGAGAGGGAGAGAGAGAGAGAGAGAGAGAGAGAGAGAGGGGTTGAGAGACTATGGAGGCAGTGCAGAGACAAATGAGAGGAGAAACGTGTGAGAAGGAAGGCAAGTGCATGTCTGTGTATGTGTGTGTATGTCTCTGTGTGTGTATGTCTCTCTCTGTATGTGTGTGTGTGTGTGTGTGTGTGTGTGTGTGTGTGTTTGTGTGTGTGTGTGTGGAAGGAGACAGAAAGAGATGTGGCCTTGGTTTGCCTGATACATTCAGAATGTAATGAGTACATCGATAAGTCCTCAACGTGTTAGATGGGTTACATAGAGTTTCTGTCCTTGCATTGGTCTGCCTCTCTGTGTGTTATACTCCACAAATGACACAGGAAGCCCAGTTATGGACCTAGATCTACACTCACTGTCATTACTGCGTTACACTCACACCTAGAGTGATAAAATGTGATAAATTGGAAGGCGTTATGAAGAAGAAAATGGGGTTTCGGTGTGACAATTATTACATTTGCCTGTTAGTCCCCCCCCCCAGCCATCCCCTCCTCTTCATCATCAGACGTGTTGCTTGTGTGCCATATTGCCCACATCTTCATCTGCTGACTGGCAGTGATGAGGGAGGAGGACAGAAGCTGAACTGCATGTAGCACGTTGCAATGTCTGAATTTGATATCGCCATATTTGTTATCTGTCTTATAGGACTGGGGGAGGGGTATTTGTTGCCAGTGGTTTATTTGTTTGCATTGCCTGTCTCGTTCAAAGGCTACAATGTTAAGGTATTAATTAGTTCGCGCTCGTGCTGGAATGATGCTGTAGGTTATGCTTTAGGTTGTCCTCAAATGCTCTCTCACAGGGATTCAGTTTTCATTCTCATGATTAATGTCTGTTCAGGCATATTGTACCTATTAGCTCCAAATCGACCTGTCTATAGCACCGGGTCAGTTGTCAGACGCCTTGTTGTTCCCTAAGCAACTGTACAAACATAAATGTGATATTTCTTCGGGTTGGTTCGTTGTTTCCTTATTGTGGATGTGATTCTCTCGGAGCTTCAGGTGAAAGTTGCAGAATAATGAGCTGATGGGGCCTTTCCTTTCTGCTTCAAACTAGAGGCATAAAATACAGAATTTAACCCAAAAATGAACAATGGACACACACAACCAACAACCTCTAGGACGCAGGCTAAAAAACACACATTATTACTATAACAGTGAAATTATTCACCGTGTTTGTCTTTAACTGTTTTTCTTTTTTTAAATAATCGAGATGATCGTTTCCTGGACGTCGAGGAAGGCTGCATATGAGAATAAATGTTTGTTTTTCAAAGAGAATAAATAGCTATGGCTTCACCATGGCCATCACAACAGTCCAGGTCGTTTATGTTTTATGTAGCTCCGGACTAAATTGTTTGCTGGGTTATTAAACGCAGCTTTCAGCTGGTTGTCTCCACATAATGTATTCTAAATCCCTCTAGAGTAACTATCTTTTATCCTCTTGCTGAGAGCATTCGCTTATACAATTGTTACACTACAGGCTATATAAAGCAATGGTTCTAAAACAGATGAAACGGTGGCATGTGTTCCTAATTAACGTTTCTGTATAAGCAATACAAGCAAAACACATGAGGACTCTAGGAAAAGTGATATTTTCTATTTAGGCTGTGGATCATTTTTTGACTCTCCCGCTTTGACAGAAGCTCAAATTAGTATATTATGCAACACTTAAATATTGAAATAATACGCTTCAAATATGAGCTATATTTTCATTATTTTTTAACCAGACATTTATCATCAAATTTCTTATCATCTGCTATGGTGACAACATTATTAGCACTTATATTCAATTAAATAAAAGGAAAGGAAAAGTCACAACGTGCACTACGAGACAAGTAAATGCACATGTCAGATTGGACTATAGCTGCGGTGGGTAAGGGAGATGGATATGTGGCACACTATGGGCCCCATTTGTGTGTCTGTAATTTCGGAAACTCCGGTTACCAAAGTGTTACTACGAAATGAGTTAAATAACCATTTACCTTTGTCTGGTTTCATTCATCAAACCACAAGTGGAGGACTCCTAACACGGGGGGCTATTTGTTTGCTTTACACAAGCAGCTGGGTGCGATTTCACGTTTGAGATATCTGTCTGAAAGCGAAACATTTATTATGCTAAGTTGTCAGCGAACCTATTTCTCCAAAACCCTCAATGCAAGCCAATGGTTTTATGCAGCAGTGGAAATGTCCTATTGGCGTTACACGTCACTTCATTTCACTTATAGTAGCCTAGTTTCCCCGGTCACATTTGACAAATACTGTTGTTTGAGACAATAACAATTTCCAAATAGCGGCTCCGTGTATGAATGGGGGGCCCTCTGAAGTATGACACGGCTTATTTCTCATATTGTCTTGTGCGTAAAAATGATGACAACACAGGACAACAAGTGCTTCGCCGTGTCTACCACGCACCTCGTTCACACAAGCTTGCAAAATGGCTGGGAACGGCACAGTGAGGACAAATGTCCAAGATTAAATGGATTCCCGTGAGATGTGTGCGTTATATCTCAGCAAACAGCCCGAGTTTCTTGTTGTATTGGCTGTACACAGTCAATGGAGAGAAGCATATCTTATGATTACAGTGTGCTGTTCTGAGATCTGTCCGCGGACCTCATAGGCAACCTTTAAGCCATGGATCAAATCCAGCCCTACGGGGTATAAAATATCCCTAGTTGTGAATGTAACATAAGGGGACGCCTCCCGGGGACGCCTCCCCGCGCCCGTGTGTGTTTGTGTCTGTGTGTGTGCACGCAAGTTTGTCATGATTGTCAAAACTGTGTGTAGGCAATGATGGGATTTTCATATATGTGTGAGGTCTTTCTGTATGTATGTGTGCGGGCGCGTTCTTTGCATGTCCGTGCGTAAAAGCGTGTACCTACCAGCGTGCGTACGCGTGTGTGCGCGCGCTACTGGCCGAGAAAGCGGGGGGGGAGAGAGAGAGAGAGAGAGAGGTGGTTGTGAGAAAGCCCGGATCGCTGTGTAAGCGGATCCCTTTGTGTTGATTTAGGAAGACGTTTGCTGTATATAACGTTCAAGGCTGATAATATCATTGCCTGGCCAGATAAATAAAGCATTGGCCAAAACCATCGGGTCAGCTATCGATCCGCTTTTTCTCCCGGAGAGAGAGAGAGAGAGGGAGGGAGGGAGGGAGGGTGGACAGGAGGGGGGGGTGTTGAGAAAGAGAGAGAGAGAGAAAAAAAGGGAGAGAGACCTCACTCATTAGCATTCCACAGCCATGGACTAAACGCTGACAACTAACAGAGATATCCAGCTCTACACCACTGCATGCATTTTCCCCCCTTTGTCTTCTTCCCCTGGCCCTTCATTTCCAGCGGACAGATCTCTCGTCACAGCCAACACATTTTTATTTATGCCTTCTCCTCTCTTTTTGCACGAATGGACCCCGTGCACAAGAGAGAAAACCGTCCAGTAAAGCAGAGAAAAAAGGGGGAGTGATGTTGTAAAAGCTGTGCAGAAGTGACAGCGCTAAGCACACTGGCTTTACTTGGGAGAGATACAATTGTGTGTGACTTGACAAAATAGACGTGGGATACGTTTTAAATTACAACCTTAACTGCTATTATCTAGATATTTGAAGATTTTAAAAAAAAACAGCCTGCATGCTTCATTATGAGAAGGTAAATGATAATGGTTTTATTTCCAGTTCAATAGTAGGTCAATATTTTTCCACTTAGTTTTGGACTCTTGCTTCCATTTAGTGTCACAGTTGCAGAAAGTGTTTTCCCTTTAAAACGTTTGTCCAATACTTTTCTATTAAAACTTTTATTTGTCTGCTGAATAAAATAAATATACAGACCTGATAACGCTGTCAGAGCAAAAACAGTCCATCCTAAAGAAAAAGTGGTTTCATATTATTAGATAAATAATTTGCAATGTTTTATTTTAGTATAAAATTTGTTTGAATGAATAAATTAAAACTTTAACGATTTGAATGAGTGATATAGGGACTGCCAATGACATTATTTGGACAAGCTCCTTTTTTCAGATGACTATATCTTAATATGCGTTCAAGTCTTGTCCAACAATGACAGCTGTTCATCTGATAGTAACTTCTTTCCAAGTTTTCTCCCCTCCCACCCCGGGGCCCCCGGTCTCTGTCTTGCTTTGTTGTTTTAAAATATGCATGTCTCTCCGGAATGCCAGTCACGGGTCCAAACTTTGTGTGTCCCAACCTCCCACATGATGAAATGATCCTTTTAAAGCGGGCTCAATATGTCTCAATCTGCACTCCTCTTCCCTCTCTAAAGCTTTCTGGGTTCGGGACACAGCCCAGAAATATATTAATTAAAGCGCACTACTACAGACTTTTTAGCACTGGGGAAGAAGTGGCTGGATCAAGTCAAGCTCTGTCAACGACGGATGGATGAAGATTCACGGCAGGAAAAGGGAAAAAAAGTAAGGCTCATTTTGACGCTCTCTCTCCTTCTGTCTCCCCTTCTCCTCTCTCTCTCCCTCTCCCTCTCTCTCTCTCTCTCCCTCTCTCTCTCTTTTCTCTCTCCCTCTCTCTCTCTCTCTGTGTGTGTGTGTGTGTGTGTGTGTGTGTGTGTGTGTGTCTTTTGCACAGTGTTCTTGTGTGTTCCTCGGACTGAAACGGATAAAGCCAGGGGGAGTGAGTGAGAAAGAGAGTGTGAGAGAAAGGGGAGGAGGGATATATACGTAAAAAGTGAAAGAGGATGGACATGTATTTGTGTGTGTGTGTGGGTGTGTGTGTGTGTATACACGCAAGTGTGTGTGCTTGTCATCACTAAGAATTTAATCAGCACGTGGTATTAAACTCTAAAGTGCAAGTTTTCTCACTGGTGTATACTATGTATGTATGGAGCCATGTTCATATGAATGGAGGTGTTTAGTTGTGTCTGTGGTGCGCGTGCGCGTGTGTGTGCGCACATATTTAAATGCTGTGTGGGATAAATCACACTACCTACCAGGAAAAAAAAGGAGACCCGGATGGTCGGAAAGGAAATGCTTGGTTTTAAAGGGGAAAAGTGTGAGTCGGATGTAACAGAACGTTTGCAGCTCGAGAGGAACTCTTAATTCATTCTGTCAAGTTTGAGAAGATGTGTGTGTTTCTCAGCGGCACAGTGATGCGATTAGAAAAGACAAGGCGAGTTAATAATAACTAATGCCAGCGCGTGTAATAATTAGCTGTTAAGTTTGAGCAATTCTGGAGAAAGTTTGGGAGTTGAAGCCGGTTAACCTGTTGCTTATGGTCCAAACATAACAGCAGCCTCAATACTGTGATAACATCCCATGAGCCCTGCAGCATTTCATCCCATAATAATCCACCCTCTCCAAAAATGTAAACAGACCAAACACTGGGAGTCATTGGGAGATCCGCACAAACAAACTGAATTTAATTACTGTGTTCATTTATTAAATTCAGATACGTTTTAATAGACATCCCAACAGTCTGATTATGTCAACATATGGGAGGCCACGCAGCAAGGCCCGGGCTTACATACCTGATAACGCCTGGGCTTTTCAGCAATATTTACGGCTTCTCTTTCTAATACACTCCAGATGGTGTGTGACTGTGCCACCGCAGTCAGCGAGCTCCTCAATTTTTACTCAGCAGCGTTTTGTTGCAATTACATCAATGCTGAGACAGAATTTATTGGTGACCCATTTTCACTGCATTATATGCAAAAAAAATAAAAAGAAAGGGAATATTAAAAAAAAAAAGTTTTGGCCACTAGTAAGCTCTGCTTTATTTGCATGTGAAGTTTTTTTTTTATTTAAACTGCTCTGAAGTTTACTTTAAAAAAAAAAAAATTCTAAAAAAGAATCTCATTAAAGTATAGGGCTCAGATATTCTCCACTTCATGGTTTGATGGATTAATATGTTATGAAGACAAAACACACAGGCCGCATTCATGCCTGACCAATCTTTGTTGTAGCCTGTGCGTTTTTTTCAGCCAGTCACTCAGGCAGAATAATGCTTGTAAAGATATAATCCACTGAGCCTATACCCTCTGTAGTCCTTTGCTATATTATCCACTGACAATAGATTGGCAAGCTTTTTAGCAGGTATCCAACCTCTCCACTAAACACATGTGAATGCCATTCGCCAAGGATTTGGTTAGTAGACTAATTCCGTTTATATTTTATTACTATATCAGGTTTACTGTGACATGATAAAAGCCTATGTGTCAGCGGTAGAATAATTCATTTTTTTCTGAGTGCGTTTGTGCAGATACTCATAAAGTTGTTATCTGAAAATAACAGAAAAATTCGCATCATAAACAAATGTGATTAGTTTATGACATCTGTTTGCATGAACTAAAGCGTGACAAATATTTATCTACAAGGCTGCTGTAGAACGGATAATATTGAACTATCTATCTATCTATCTATCTATCTATCTATCTATCTATCTATCTATCTATCTATCTATCTATCTATCTATCTATCTACTCTGTTGCGTTATGGTTTGTTTTACCGTCAAAGTTGCAGCTCGTGTTGTTGCTCTCTGTGTTTACCTGGATTGCTCAGAGAGACTGCTGTAGGTCTATTATGATTGACTGAAACGATGCATTGAAGGGTATTTTTCATCTATGCCACGGGGAACAGCTCCTTACAGTGGTAAGGTTTCCCATTGACTCCCTTTAGTCTTCATGGTTGGTGCTCTCTCTCTCTCCCTCTCCCAGCCACCTCAGAGGACATGCGGCATGTTGATAAATACATGTCTTTTTTCCATCTTACTCAGCACCATCCATCAAATTTGTATGTCCATGTTACACTGCTGTGCTTGAGGGAGGAAGGGGGGTGCCAGTAGTCGTGCAGAAACACACTGTAAATCGTCAACAAGGGATGTATTGCTCTCTCTACATACTAAATAATTACTTGATCATTCGCGCTGCGCTCTGGTCATGTTAACGTGCTGAATTGTCTAAAGTCAGGCGATGCCAGGGTTATACTGTGTGGAGATTTAGAAGTGGTCTTTTGCCGTGCTCTGTGGGTTAATAACCTCTTCACGCACTATAACCACTGTGTTTTGATCCTAGTGATACTTTGGATAGAGCATTTCTCTGGCTTGCCCACGGCTTGGACCACTCTACAGAAGACCAGTCGCCCTGTGGTTGCAAACTCTTTGTGGCCCCACATACCGCCGCTGTGATTATAGAAGTGCCTCCTCTCCCTTGTTAAAGGAGCAAAGCTCTAATCTAGCCTCTGTGTCGCCCCCAAAGCCAGCGTGCTATAGTGAAAATGTACGTGCGTGTGCGCGCGCATGTGTGTGGGGGTCGGTCGGAGCGAGAGAAGAGGGGAAGGGAATTGTGGGAGAGAGGGAGAGCAGAAAGGAGGGGGGGTTATAACGGAGTGGCCCTTTCCTTCTTTTGAGTGACACGACCCCTCTCCTCTCTTCAAAGGCCATGCAGAAATAAACGCATCTCATTTGAATGGCGATTTTTTTTCTTGGTGGTATTTCACAGCCAATATTTCTGGAATAGGAATGTGTATTTTTTTTCCTACAATATTGAATTCGGGGATGGTTCTGGTGGCGGGGTATTCAATATTCCCATCTCTCCACATGAAGCATTCTGCAGCCAGTGTGGTATTTTGTCCATGACTACACCACCAACACCACCCCCTCCACTCCTGCACCCCCCACCCCGTCCAAATTCATTTGCATCCGCTGATGATATCAGTAAAGAATTGCTGGCACCGTATGAGGCAGGGTGGGGGAAGAAGGCTTATTTGGATAAAACTGGACCGCAGAGTGGACACGGCCCTAAAGGTCAGTCGCCCATTCATGTCAAGGTGGCAGGGGGTGTGTGTGTGTGTTGGGGGGGTCGGCATGGGATTGCCAAAGAGGCTTATTTGAAAGCGGGCGTATATTTGAGGCAAGGGAATGAAAAGGAGTGGACCACAAAGCTCGTCATACTTCAAATACGCCCCGTCACATCTTCACTCTTTCCTTTCCATGCAGGCGGTGGGTATATAAGGAAGGTGGGGTCTCAGTACTACGGCATGGCCTGCAGAACATGCAGCAGAAAATAAAACATGTGGACGACAAGGTGGATCATAGAGGTTTCTGTGCACAAAAGAAGGGCTCTCTAAAGGTTACTCCTATAGTGGTTTCCTCTGATTCGTGCAAATAAATTACTGGATTAATTCAAATGAAGAGGCCAGTGTTGTTGTTAGAAAGTTCCTTTAGTGCTGCTGATGTGAAGCATTTCATGTAATCTCGCAGGGCTGTTTACAGCACCATAAGAGATAGAAGAGATAGAAAAACCTTTTCTGAAAGGATTCTTTATGGCACCAAAATAGGGCTTTGCCATAGAGCAAGCCTATAATTTTCTGATTACTAGACTATATACTACAATTTTGGTAATAGTGCAGAATGTCAAGGATTTACTTCTAAGGCGAAAAAATAAAGAAAAAAGCACAAAAAGAAAAAAAAACTGAAAGATATCATGGTATGTATGCTGTGTACTGCAACTCAGTGACACACTGAACGCCATGCAGTGTTCTTTGAAAAGTGTTTTTTTAAGTAGAAAGGCAGTAAATGCTGTAAATGTCGCACTAATATTTGAAATGCTTGTTATATATATAAATATTATTAGTATTATCTCGTTTTATATGAATCTCATTTTTGACCACATGCTGATAGTACAGTCTCCTGTGCATTGAATGTAAACAATATCACATAGTGGCAGAACATGTAATAGAACTGCAAATGTATTTTCACATTAATTAATAAATCAATTAATGCACTCTCCTGCAGTGCATATACCCCAATTTACTTCGAGGGCACAGTCACCATCCATCGTGCGCGTCTACACACACACACACACACACACACACACACACACACACACACACACACACACACACACACACACACACACACACATTTATCACTTCATCATTATGTAAATATAATAAAATTAGGTGAGGTACATTGCAGTGGAAGGAGTCACAATTTCATTATAATTATTTCTAAAACTATATTAGTGGCCTAGTTATAAGTGTGCCCATGCAGTGTAAACTTTATTTTCAGTATGGAGGCTGTGGGGGATTATTGAACGCCTTAACTGAGCGAAAATTGTCACAAATTGCTGGTTGTCGAGGGGCGAATGACAAGATAACGAATATGAGAAATTCTGCCCCTGACACCTCGGTTCATATATCATTGCAAAAGCCGACTAATCACTCACATGTTGTCTTTAGTATTATTACACTTCAATGTCACGTTTAAGGGATATGTCAAAATTGTAGATTTAGATTTATGTTACTTCCAAACTTAAAAAAATATTTGTTAATCCGGCTTGGGTGTGTGCACTAATTAAATTATCTGGAATTATGCAAGCTTTTCAGTTAACAGCACCTATTGATATAAGATTAGTATACTGTGCAATATTTTTTTTTAACCTGTTCGGTTATAATTTGGGCTG